CTGAACAACACGCACCATTATAAGTGTTTATTAGCAGCCACTTTTTCAAGTAAAGGTGTTCAAATGGGAAACCCAAAAGTTCATATATCGGCTTTACAAACTGATGCAAGTTTAAGTGGTCAGGAAGCCATTTCGCCTTAAATTAATATGCCTGTGAATTGTGAAATTAATTAGTCCTAGTATCCTGTAGTAAATAAATGTAAGCTTACATATAGGGGTAGCAAACAGGCGGGTCGGGTTGTATATGAGCGGGTCAAAACGAGTAATTTAAAAAATTGATAAATTATCCGACCCGACCCGTATTTGAGACGGATAAAAAGTGAGTTTATCCGGCTGACAATATGCATATCTATATTATCCATGGCTTCTTAAATATGATCAATTATGAGAGAATTTCTAGTCTTCCAAACTTGAGGAACTCCAATTTGAGGCTTTACAAATGTAAAAGTTAAACACATTAATTATCCATTGGTTAACCATTTTCTAAGTGGACAATATGGTTCTTTATCCATATTCGACCCGTTTTTAAATGGTTCATTATCCAACCCATTTTTTGATGGATAATATGGGTGGATAACTGTTTTCTTTTAACCATTTTGCCACCTCTGCTTACATATAACACTCCCGTGGCATAGCTAGTTCAAGATTTGAAGGCAGTAAGGTTGTGCATTTGGACCAAATATCCGAAATCCGAACCGATCCGCTCAATTTTGAATTTCGGATTTCGGATATTTGGATCGGATTTCGGATTATGTTTATTAAAATTTCGGATATCCGGATCGGATTGGTATGATTTCAACTCGATCTGTTCCGAAATCCGAGATTATTAGGGCAATGTATAAATACTAAACTTTAATTTTGGATAGCCAATACTTCCTTTACATCTTCCTCCAAGTTATTACCTTTACAATTACTGGATTTAGTAACATTGGCACCATAGTACCTTCATAATTTTAAGAAATAAGAATTTTTCTTGCTGTATTGTCTCTTCTATAAAGAAAATATAAGTATGAGTTTTGCAAATTAGAGGCATAACAACTCGAACCTACAGAGAAATATTTTCTTAGAGATGCAATGCTGATAAAAGGGATGAAAAGCAAAGATATGTTTGTATTAGCACAGAACACAGAAGAAGCAAATAAGGCAGATGCATTAGCTTGTTAGATTTGCAATAGCCTTAATAATACGTATAATCCGTTCCGAAAATTCGAAATATTTATCCGATCCAAACTTTAAAATCTGATCCGATCCGATATTAATTCGGATCGAATTCGGATTGCTTTTTTGTAGAATTCGAAATTCGAAATTTTAATCTGAAATATGCTAAATTCGATACGATCCGATCCATGCACAACCATGGGTGCACTCCTAAATTTTAATATTCTAATATTTTTTACGTATTCGATAATTTATATACATAATACTAATATACATACATCGAGTTACAGCGAGAACACAAGCACTCTTCCTTTACATGCTAGATCAAGATTTTGGTGGTTGTATTTATAAGCATCTTGCATGTTTTGGTGGCTCTATATATGTCATGACAGTCCGTAATTACGAGTTTGATCGAATTCAATAATTTTGATCTAGATCTTGTATTAATATTAAATATTTTATTTAATTATATATTAATAATTTATTTAAAACCAAGCAAATAAATAAAATTGTAATTTAGAACCCATAAATCAAAAATCTAGACTCCACCTCTAAAAGCCACCATGTTCCCATATACATGTGCATTAAGTTGAATGATGGTAATTGTAATTGCGTATTTTACTCTTTTGTTTTGACCATTAATATATATCATCCTCAAAATCTGAGGTACAATGAATTATAGTCAGACAAAGGTCGTATCTGGTCAAGATTTTGACCAGCTAGCGGCTATTGCACATGCTCTTCTACTAGTAGTTAGCTGAGAGTAACCTTGTCATCTCATTCTGCTACTTTTACTTCATTCTTTTCACATACAATATTATTATTATTATTATTATTATTTGTATACATACTGCCACTGGCTCAAACTATAATTAGGACAATATTATTACATTAATCTTGGCAAATTTACCATATACTGCTACTACTCTCTCTCTTCATCTTTTTTAAATAATGATTATATCTTGTAAAAGCTAGTCCAATGATCAGTTGGAATGGACAATTAACTAATCGGAGTATATAGTTGAACCAATCACAGAGAATTCCAATATTAAACTTTAGATGACATACTTATATAGATTATAACTAGATTAAAAGAACGTATTAAAAAGGAAAAAACATATAAGAAAGATGAACAACACTTACGAATTTTCTCTACTTTTTATTAAGGAGAATTTTAGTTTAATTTATAGAGCTTGTAGTATGATCCAATAAGAGTTTAGATTTACAACCGACGAAGTACAAAATGTTAGCATGTCATGGGCACATGGTTGTGGCAGGATAATGTTGGGTTTTGTTCCTTTTACAAGCTAGGCCAAGATTTTTAAGAGAGAATTAATGACATAGTTATCCTCAAGAATTAATATCGATGTATACCTTAAAAATCAGAGTATTAAAACCAATATACGACGGATGAATGAGTAAATAGAGAGAAACATAGTAACGTGACAGTGGGAAATTGGGAATAGAAGACATTCAAGATCTGGTACTGAAGCATTCCCATGTGCAACTCAGTGCATTTTTAATTTATTTGTCTTACTGTCTTTTGAGAAGGAAAAAGAAAGAAGAAAATTAGAACGGTTTGTGGTGGGCAATAATTCGAAAATGTTTAATGAAGAGAGCATGTGCAATTAGTGAATGGACAAGATAGTAAGGTTTGCAGGTGTCACTGCTGCTATAACAACAAGCATGTGTACAATCGATTATCCATTCTTACTAATTAGTATGGGGGGTGGGGAAAAAAAAGTATTTGGGGGGGGGGGGGGGGGGTAGGGGAGGAGTGTAGGTCACCCTTAACTTTAACTATATGTGTCCAAAAGTAAACTAAAGTATATATGTGTAACAAAACCTTATAGTATAATTCATTCCGAATTCACTGACTCTTAGATTTTAAACTCGTCCTTGCACCCATTTGATTTTCTTTATACGAATTTTTCAGAGATCAACCTTATAAATTTTTGCCCCGAATGGAATCCTACGCGACGAATTCGGATATAGTCGGGCTCCAATATTAGTACCGGACACCGGGTGAGGGAAAAAAAATCAAGTGTGATGGTTGATGAGGGAATACTCTCTGTATAGAGGCGAATCCATGATCATAAGTTGATGGTTTCGACCTTTAAAGTTTTAGTAATAAACTCATTGTACTTTTAAAATTGTGAATTCAGATCTAATATTTGTTAAAATTATATTGAATTTTAGCATTTATATTTAAGTTCCGCTTTGAAAATACCAGATTCGGATGTACAAAAGGCTACCTCCGCCCATGTAACTCTATGTAGGTTGCCTCAGTGCATTAATCCCAACAGGTAAGTTAATTTGCCGAGGACTGTCAATAAAATTACTCAACAAAGTTAAAGATTAAGTCTCACCAAGAACCGCTTTTTAGAATCATTAAATCATTATCATCTAGTACAAGTTGAGGTAAATAATTAAAGGAAAGTGGTTCACATGTTATAAATTATGTAACATTGCGTATTTTTAAAATGTTCTAGGTGCTAAACAAGAAGGGTTTTTAAGAGAAAAGGTAAAGAACAAATATCTAGTACTCAAGGGGGTACAGATCAATTGAAATTATGCAGTGGAAGTGGCTGTATTTTTCTTCACACATCATCTAATCAGTAAATTTAGATTCATGGTTAGCTGAACATAAATAATTGTTGCACTTTCTACCTGTCAAATGTGTATAAGAAAGTCTCTGATTTTTAACCTAAAAAGTTCATTTGTGTCCAATACAATAATCTGTTACACCAATGTGCAATGTACTCTTACAAGTTACAACCAATAAATTTATTTGTAAAAATCTATAAACACACACCCACCGAGAGACAGACACACATGCTATCTTTAGATCTTTGATGATTTCGATAGGACAATGATCCACTATTATTTTATTGTCATTATTGTAACATTCTATCATGTTACTAGTCGTCGCTGATCATCTATGGTTATTCAAAACTATTTTTATCCTTACTCTGGCAATTTCTGTCTGCAGTACCAATCACAAACCAATTCTTAGAAGTTTCACCAGCTCTACTCTTAACAGTTAAAAAAACCATAGATTGAGAAGTGGTCCCGAATAATTTGGAGACGTCATTATTAGTAGACAACTTCAGAAAACTTGAACTTACAATCGTGACTGAATTTCATAACTCCCTGATTTGTTCTGTATTTTGTTCAGTTTACGTCTTATCTAACATTTATGAGTAAACCCTTCTCTCAATGAAATGTCAATATCTATCTGGGTATGTGTTTCACTGACCGACTTGTAAGCTTCTTGTCCCAGTATTGTTGTGTCATTCAATTAGCTTGTAAAAGTGGCTACATAACAATCATATTAGAAAAATGGAACAAATGCATTTGCAACTAAAAGATACGATGAGTTCGCATTCGACATGTGGCACGACATTCCTTATGTGCTTGACAGGTGAAAACCAATAGAGATTCAGCACTGGCAGTCGGACTGAATTCCGTCATGATCTATAGGGGTACTAAAGTTCTGTTAAAAGGCACTGTTGTCTTCGCATTTGGTTTCCTTATTGAATCTAGAAAATAGTTGCGCGCCGGATATAGCTTTAAAAGAATTTATTTTGGAAAATAATCGTGTTTAGATTTGCTTGTTTTCAGTATTTTTGAGATATTTTAATCAAAATGGTTTAAATAAAATGATGAGAAACCCCGTGTAAACCTGCTATCTCATATACCAATACATATACTAAATAACTCTACCAACCAAAGTTGGGATGAAAAGAATTTACCTAGTGTCGGTTTCACCTGCGATTTGAACCTTCCAGCTCTTCGACTGTTTAGGCCACAACCGTTGGGGCACTGAGTAAACATACTTATTTGCTACTAAACATATTTCAAATGTCAGTCCTCTAGTGGCTTACAACAAATAAGAAAGAAAAGGAGCCCATAATTGGCATTCCCACATCAGGTTTCAATATAGACTTCTCATATGAAAGATAACGAGTACCATAAATAGTTGAGTAGTTATTTATTTACCTCCCAAAAAGAATACCTGCAGAGAGACAGTTCCAATTGCAGTCTATTGTCTAAACTATGCTATATAACATAACTCAAATCATTTGGCAAAATGGCAGGAGTAATATTGTTCTCTAAGTCCATGCACCCGCTTAGTATGTAGAGAAAGAAATCCTCGAGATTAATTGACAACATCAAGGACCAACTTGCGAGATTTGAGGACAGACCATCTCAAGCGACGGTAGTAAGCTGCTTGGAGAAGTGCGAGTGACAAAACAAATATCCATTTGAAGCCCATCTGTAGGAATAAAAAATGTCATAGAGTCAGAAATCCATTTTATAGTACATCGTATGGGGGTTATCAACTGACAGTGAGGATCCAACATGGGGTCAACATGCACACAAATCAGCTACTCAGAATGTGATAGTAAAACACTAAACTTGGTAATAAGTGGGATTTGCTAAGCAAGTTTAATTCTTTCAGGCTTCAGGTGGCATACAAGCACATATACACTTTTGGAAGAACTTTAGTACAGAAGGATGCCCGCAAACTAATAGAATTGGGATTGACATAAATGCAGGATAAGGAGAAAGGAGAATTCATTGAAGCTTACCAGCTTTCTCTCTTCCATTTCTGGCTCAGCAGCCCATGACAAGAATGACACGACATCTTTTCCCATCTGTGCGGTGTCAGCACTTTAACTTCTGCAACAATGGTTCAACATATAAAGGGGAAGCAAAGGAAAAAAGGATATATTACCTGTGCCTCCGTTGCAGGGGTGCCATCCTCATACTCAACAGCACCATCGTTAAGCATTTTAGGCATTGCTATAGCTCCACCAGGGAAGTAAGGATTATAGTGAAGTCCTTCTCGAATCTACAATGAGAGGTGAGCAGCAAAATGAGTCTTACCAAATGGAAGAATTATGACAAACTGGTATTAAAGGACAGTCACGAAGCAGTGTCAACCAACTATATTAGAATGTGACAGTACCCATATCTCCTTGCAACATCTTCAGATGCACTTCATCTTTCTTTTTTTATTGTTATTTTGATTTACTGCTTCCTCTACTCTAAACAAAAGAGAAACAATCACAAAGAAAAGCAGTCTGAGGCAGAGGAATTACCGAGACGCCAGCAGGAGGGTCACGGTAGCCAGTTAGAAGAGCAAAAACATAGTTTTGACCATTATGACGAGCCTGAAAAGTGGAAGTAAATCAGGCAACGCATATGAAATGTTTGTCAAACTTTAGAAGACAAACAGTACCTTAGTAATTAGACTTAGATCAGGAGGATAGGCTCCTCCATTAGCAAACCTTGCAGCTGCTTCATTAGCGTAAGGCTGAGGGAAACGATCACTCAGCTTCCCAGGGCGGGTAAACATCTCACCTTCGTCATTAGGCCCATCAACCACCTCAATTTCTGCTGCCATAGCCTTGGTCTCTTCCTCGGTATATGCGACACCAACAAGATCACGATACGAAATTAGAGACATTGAGTGGCAAGATGCACACACTTGCTGGTAAACCTGGTGACCTCGACGGATACTGTATCAAAAATAGAGGCACACAAGCTAATTGGATTTCCATATCATTTGTAACTTCGGGTACAAATTAGCTCTGGAAAAGCAGAAAATTGATATACATTCTCTAAGGTAAGAGACTTAAAAAACAAGGCTACAGAGCAAGAACACCAACTACACCTACACCAATTCTGATACACAGGAAAATGCTGTAAGAAAAAGGCTGAATCACCTTTTGTCTGTGGGCAAATATTTTCATACGGCATATAACAACTACGTGAAAAATTTAATGACCCAGATCTTTACCAATAAAAAGGGAATATAAACTAAGAAGCTTTAACAATCATGCAGCAACACTTAAGTACTTACGAAGCATGGTCATAAGAACTGAGAATGCCTTCGTGAGGCCAGGGATAGCTGGGACACTCTAGTCCATGCTCCGCCTCATCAGAATAAGCAATTGTTGCAAAACTAAGGAGCCCAGAGACTCCAGCACCAATGACTGCAAGTGCTCTGAAAGACTTCAAGCCAGCAGATCCAACTCCATCCAGGCCATGCTTCAAAATAAATAATAGAATTGTTTGATCAGCAGAATATTATTCCATGAGCTTTTATAAAGCATCGGATGCAAATGTTAATTGACTTAACAGAACACCACTATAGCTGCCACTTGCATAAGCAAAGAATTCTTCTAGGAAAGGATAATCAAATGAACATAAGGCTAGCTACTTTGAAATATTGTATCCATCTCATGAGCTAGAAGCAAGAACTTCATCTCTTTGGTGGTGTTATACCATAACACAATCTAAGCCTTTATCTTGTCCTCCATTTGCCAAAGTAAGCAAAACCAACTTCAAACAGTGTATGCAATTGACATCCTTGCAGATGAGCAATTGCTCTCCTCAAAGATAATATTGCTGTCATCCAAGGCATAAAGTATATATTGGCACATAGTCAAAAGCAAATTCAGGTATATGGCAGCAATTCTGGGGCACATCAAATTTTCCAATGGTTTTGTGCCAAGAGTTAAATTAGAATAAAGTTTATGAGAGGTTCAATAACATGGCACTCCTCCAACAGGCAAACATCTCCCTCAGGAAAACGCAAATATATTGGAATACCATAGATGCAAAGGGGGGCTTCCATGAGACCTTTGAGTATCTCCAGCTACGCATCTTTATTCTTCCTTATTGGAATAAAAGAGCATTGTTGGCAAGACAACAACTGTCATCCTCCCCAATTTGTTTGAGATTAAGGCCTCACTGTTGTTGTAATATTGGAAAAAAGGAGCCTAATTGGTTAGACAAGTCCTATTAATATATGGGAGGAAATAGAGCCAATGCTAGCCAACTTACATGCTTGTGATAGAACCACCTAGAAGAAATAGTTTTGTGTTTATTGGTGTAGTGTGTCTTCCCATATGCCGCCTACTAGTGCTAGTTGAGTAGGATTGATCTATAATACAAATCCTCTAGGCGTAACCTTTAGCTTAATATTAGAATTGAGAATTAAAACATAGCATCTGAGGTTGCATTTATAGAGGATACACAAGCAGAAGGATTTGTTTTATTTCCAAACTTCACCTTCAAAGTGCAAGTTTTTAAAATATTCTCGAAACAATGTATTTCTCTTCATACAACTGAGATAAAATGAATACATGTGAAATAGCAAAAATTAAGCTTCTTCTGTTTCATGTGGGGTACTGAACGTATTCAAGATGCTCCAGAGCAGATGCTTCATATTGAAGCTTAAGAAGTGACCAAGGTGTTCAGTCATAGATTTATGGACACTAGCTTGGAAATGCAGTAGCTGTTACATTGGGGAAGGCTGACTACATAGACCTTGAAAGATATTGGTGACAGGTTCAGTAAAACCCCGTGAAATATGCTTTAGCATTTCCAAGGTTCCTCTAAAATAAGCTATCTTGGGAGGTAGTCCCTCCTGTTCAAAATTTTAGATGGACACTATCGAACAACTCTATTTTAGAACCAGGTCTAAATAGTAAAAAGAAACTGACTGAAGGAAGTTCCTCTACACAAACTCATTGGATTGTTCATTATCCTCCTAAATAGGAAATAACACGTCATTTTACAAGGTAAGAAAAGCATGATCGAAGATATAAGCTACAAATGTACCATGTTGTCACAACATGGAAAAGGTCAACATAAAAGCTTCTCTCCTATCTATGGCACGAAGTTTTTGGTTCTTGTCAATTGAGAAACATTGACAATTTCACTTTGGAAACACGTGGGATAAGATTGGGTATGTTGTTGTTGTTGACAATTTCACTCTGCAACAAATAATATGTTGTACTGCATGTAGCATTAATCAGGTGCAATTGCCTAAACTCAAATGCTAATATGGTGACAGATAGAAAGATTGGAGCCAATTCTTCTTTTTTTCTTTTTTCTTATTTTTTTGTGATGAAAAGGGATTGGAGCAAATTCTACAGCTCCTATTAACCTGCTTCATGTTGAAGCTACTTTGGCGCTTCTTCCATTTCAATTTTCTTTAGCACTTTTCCATTTCCCTACACCACTAAAAGGAAACGTGGCATTTATATTCCCAGCTTTCAATTATTCAAATTCTTCCTCTTCTTCTTTGATGAAGTAACATTTAAATTCATTTAACTATTCAATTTTTAAAATTTAATGAGATGTTTTAGTGATAGAACTACTTTTCAACAGTTACGCAATATTCTCTTCCACTACCACTATTACAATATACAAGTCAAATTAACTTTTTAACTCCATGTCTAGTCAAATCCTGTCACGTAAAATGGGACAGATAATATATTACATATATATATCTGATTTTAAGCAAAATAGCATGAGACGGCCGAAAGCATCAAATCGTACAAACAGTGTTTCTGGTTCACCATATACACAACAAATCGCTCTTGCAATTTAACTCTGCCCACACTGAAACAACAATATCATAAAAATTGATACCTTAAGTGCATCATTTCCACTGGAAAACTTCGAGTCGTTCCTTAGGCCAGCTGCTCTCGTAATAAACCGATTGATTCTTCCAAATCCTGAATTAGAAAAGAACAAAATTTCTAATTTCTAATTTTACACACGAAAACTAGGAAGCGAAAATGATTTCGAAATTGATGCTGAGCTGATACCGTCAAATCCTATTCTGATCTTCTTCCCTAAACCTGTAAAAAAAGCGACAAGATTTAGCTCATTTTTTCATCGGCATCAGTAAAATCCAAATCGGAATTAGAATTAATAGAAAATATTACTCATGATTCAAAGAGAGGACGTTGTTCAGGTGAGTAGGAGGGTAGAAGAATGTAGCGTTTGCGATGACTGCACTGTGTTGGAGATGATTTTGTTCGTGCGCACGAGAGATAGAGAGAGAGAGAGGCGCCTGGCTCATAGACTTTGAGAATGAAGGATCAGAAATTGATCCAGTCTTCAAGTCGGGTCTCCAACGTTCGGGTCAAATTCGGGTTTGCTAGTGCTAGAGTGGCGAGTTAAATTCAGAAATAGCCAGACAAATGATAATTGAAAAATAGTCATAATTTCAAAAGTAATCGAAATTTAGTCACTCTTCATGTAAAGATAAAGCTGAACGAAAATACTGTTTAAAATTCATAAAATATTCCAACATAATATACTGGTCCAGCATAATATGCTGGAAGTTCATACATACGTGCTCCAATCTCCATTATATTATGGTGGAACTTTCCGTGTGTTAGAGTTCCAGCATAATATGCTGGAAGTTCATACAGAGGTGCACCAATCTCCAGTATATTATGCTGGAACTTTTTCTGTTGCAGCAAAATAATGGTTATTTTTCAATGACTTTGCAAACGCTTGCTATTTTACTAGTCCGAAAACTGGCTAGCCCGTGCTATTGTCACCCGAGTGTCTCGACCTGTATTATTTAATTTTCGGAATCTTACAGACATATCTCAAATAAGTCCTAAACTTATATATATAATATATATATATATATATATAATATATATATATATATATATATATATATATATATATATATATATATATATATATATATATATATATTAAATATATACTAGTCAAGCACATACAAAATTTAAAAATTAAATAAATAAAGATTCTTTCTATCCAAGAATCACAAGCAAAGATCTAATCCATATATTTAAGCGTGATCAGCAACATTAGATGCAAGACGGAAAGGAAATTTCATGGATGCGGTAGCAAATAAGGTGATGAAATACAAAAAATATATATACAATATTCTAAAAATCTAAGCAAAAAGAAATCTTTTTCAATGGGTATGTTTGAAATTCATTGAAAACATACAGACGAGTCAATATACAAAATTTGAGGAAGATTGGAGGTGATTTTGACCGACTTGGTATCAAAATTCGAAGTTAATTTTATACAAAGATGATACATATGTGATACACAAATGATACAAAGTGTGATATTGTTCATATTTTACTTCGAATTTTCAATTCAAACCACCTCAAAACTCTACAAAATCATCCCAAATGAGATTTAAACTCCTTAACATGTATCGAATCTATTCCAACAACATCCTCTTAAAAGAAAGCAAAAATTATAAATTTTTGGCTACAAATAATTAATTAGCTAATATATTGTGAATCGACTAATTTTTGTACTAACTTACTTATGTGCTGAAATAACTGGGAATTTCCCTTTAATTTTTCTATGTCCATAACTATATTCTTCAAGTGGAATAGTTTTTTTCCCGGGAAAGGGCCAAAATTACCTATACATGTTACATCTTCCATTAAAAGTTGGTAGTATTAATACCTTTATCGTGATCAAAAGTGCTTGTCTTTACCATTAACGGATACAATTTTCAAAATTTAAAAATTTAAAACTCTTTTCCCCCAATTTAAAATGCCACGTGAAATTAAAAAAACACTCTTCTCCCCTCTTTGTTTATACAAAACCTCCTCCCCTATCTTCTCTTTCATCAAAGCGACTCCACCACCGGTCCTACGGTCAAAATCGAGGTTGCTCTTTTTGTATGATTAATCGAGACCGTGGCGTTGAACGCTAAGGTTCGACTCCATGTTATACTTGATCGTGACACGAAGTTAGATTGCCAAGCTCGTGACTCAGGGACCGAGATCGAGACCAGCCAAGATCGAGACCAAGCGAGATAGAGATCAAGCAAGATCGAGGGAAGCCTGCCAAGCCAAATAACGAAAAGCCAAGATATCCGCGATCGGGCGAGGATCACAGAGGGAATCTCGGCACGTATCAAGAAGAGGCCTATTAATCGGCTAATCATTGGATTTTTTACTGTATTTAAGACTGTATTAAAGGTAGAACTCCCCTGCTATATAAAGGGGGTCTGATCATTTGTAAAGCACATCATATTCACGCTATATAAAGCAATATACTGTCTTTTTATTAAGCTCTCAATACTTTGTTGCTCTGCTCATACTTTCCAGTGAAATACTTGTTTGATTCGGATGTGACCTAGCTCAAGGATCCAAGCTATACATTTCTTTTGGTTTGCTTTATTTCTATTTACAGTTAATTTCAATATCAATTTGCGTTTTTTCTCAGTTTGTGCCAAGTAAAATCACGTGTCCTTAAAACCACAATATAAATTCAATTGTTATCTGTTTTAGGGTAAACAGTTTGGCGCCCACCGTGGGGCTAAGGATAATAGTGATTGCCTGGTACAAATTTTCGTAACACACACTATTTTACACTTGTTCTTTGAAGTATCTTTGATTACAGGATTAAAAAATGTTAAACTCTCAGTCAGCACCTCAACACATTGACAATGATCTCAGCCACCACGACGAAAATGAGAACACTACACCAGGAAATATTGTACCCCCTGCTGGCCTCGATGGAATTTCGGCTGTAGATCCAATCGACATATGTTCGCATGTAGCCATCAATGGAAATTTGACCGTCGATCCCGAAAGCAGCGTTTGCGGGGGTACCCGATCAGCTACTCAGACGCACATGGTGGTGAAGATGGCGGGATCGGCCTGCGAGTGATCTTCCAAATGTTGCAGGACCAACAGGCAGCAATAACCTAGCTCTAAAATCAGAACCACACACCGAGCAGGGTCGTACTCGAGCCATCCTAGGAAGTTGTACACAGGGTCAAATCGACTTCTAGGAAATCGAATGAGAAGGAATCGAAGATCAATCCTGCTATCATAAAAATGCTCGAAGAACTGATAAAGCGAATCGAGACAAAGGAAAAGAAGATCAAGGAAAATGACAAAAAGGTGGAAACCTATAACTCCAGGGTCGACCAAGTCCCGCGGGCACCACCAATATTGAAAGGACTAGATTCTAAAAAGTTTATAAAAAAATATTTCAGTATAAGAAAGACCATTTTTTTGTTGGCTTTAATTGTCTCATTAATTATTGTACATATCTTCATTGTTTGTTTCCGTTCTCATCGTTATTGAACTCCTTACCCATGAAATGGGTACAGATTTGCTTATCGCGAAATCAATAGACTTCATGTGTGAGGTCATTTGTTGGGGTTTTATCACGACCCGAATTTTCCACCCTTGGGAGTCGTGATGGCGCCTACTAGTGGGAGCTAGGCAAGCCAGGCCTTGACTACCTAATACACTTTTATTTACTTTATTTTAACAATTACCAGGCGATAATGTAATAACAACAGGATTTTGATAAATAAGCGAAAGTCAACAATGTTTATAAATCAATACTACGTCCAATACAACTTTTAAAACCTCAATACCCAAAACCTAGTGTCACAGTGTCACAGACTGTCTAAGAGTCACTACAAACAAAGTCCGAAGGAAAATACGATACGCTGTTTCTGAACCAAAAGAGAAATGAAACAGGGAATAAAGATAGAGGGAGACGCCGGGGCCCGCGAATGCCTGCAGGTCTACCTTGGGTCTTCGGGTGAACTGAAGGAAGCCCTCCAACTACTGATGTTGTCCGAAACCTGGATCTGTGCAAAAGAGCACAGAGTGTAGTATCAGCACAACCGACCCCATGTGCTGGTAAGTGCCTAGCCTAACCTCGGCGAAGTAGTGACGAGGCTAGGACCAGACTATCAAATAAACCTGTGCAGTTATATAAAATACAGCGGAAAATAAAGCAGGTATAAGCAAGTAAGGATGGGAGGAGGAAACATGCTTCGGGGGATAACAGGTAAAAACAGAATATCAAGAGAATAATAAAGAACATCATTAATTTAACTCTAATATGGATAAGGGAAATAAAAGCAGGTTTCACTGTCAGTACATATCTCGTTGTAGGCGTGCAACCCAATCCCATTTCCTGTATCTCGTGGCAGGCGTGCCACCCGCTCCCATTTTCTTATATCACGTGGTAGGCGTACCACCCGCTCCCATTTTATTATATTAACAGTTTTTCCAAATAAAATTACTCCAATAAACACAACAATTAATAGAATTCATAAGACAACAAGTACACAATAATTATGACTCACTGATGAAGACAAGTAATGACAAGTAGCAATTAAGTCACATAAACATGTAGCAATTATAGCATAAATTCAAGGCATAATGTTGTGCAAGGATACCTAGAGCTAATAATAACAAGTAACACAATAAAGGAAAATGCCAACATACAGAATCACAGTAATAGAGGAATAAGACAATTAATGCACTTGAACCAATAACAACAAGAAATTATAACAAACGGCAATAAGTGCACGGCATCACCCTTCGTGCTTTAACACTCTCTCACCAAAACAATGCACGGCATCACCCTTCGTGCTTTACGCTCTTCCTCACCCAAACAACAATCATAAGGCAAATAGGGTAAGGGAATCTATAACATCGAAATAAAATCAAGTAACAACAGAAAATCAGTAAATAAAAGTAAAGGACAACATAACTCAATTATCAGCAAGAATCAGGAAAATTAAAGACAAGTGCACGGCATCACCCTTCGTGCTTTTACTCTCGTCCTCACCAAGCAATAATATAATGAAAACGTGCACGGCATCACCCTTCGTGCTTTTACTCTCTTTCCTCACCAAAGCAATTAGAATAATAAAATGTGCACGGCATCAACCTTCGTGCTTTTACTCTCTTTCCTCACATATAATCAATAGAATTGGCACGGAATGGTACATCGTGCGGCACGGAACCTTCGTGCTTTACACTCTTTCCTGACTATAGCAAACAATACACGGCGTCACCCTTCGTGCTTTAACACTCTTCCTCACCCAAACAACAATCACAAATAAGGGCAAGGGAAGTAAACAAGAACATATAGGAATCCCGGCAGGGGAACAACGAATTAACAATTAAATCCCGGCAAGGGAGCAACAAGTAAATAATTAAATCCCGGCACGGGAACATTTCAATAATCAATAACTTTTTCTCTATCTTTCACTTGTACTTCATAACTCACTTTACCACTTGAGCCAATGCTCCAAAGGGTTCAATCATCTCATATACTTTCAC